ACGTATGTAATAGCTTGTGTGCATAGCTGTTGCCTCTTGAGGCTGATGTTACAGCTGCGATAGTTTGGGTGTGTTGCGAATCCCTCCAGAAAGGAAGACTAAGCAACTGTTTCCTGCTAGCCCGACCGGCAGAAGGCCCAGGGAACGGCGAAGATTAATTTGGTGCAAACGTCCTTTCCGGACTCAAGGTGTATTCTGCCGAAGCTCACTCTGGCACAAAAGCGTGTACGTCGGAAAGGCTCTCTGACTCGTCTACCTCAGCGACTCGAAACGAGAAGCGATCAAGGAAGATGAAGATTTAGTAGATGAATAGGGAACTGAAAGACCGATAAGTTTATCGGCATTAGATATGCTTTCTTTGGTATTGGAGGGTAGTGTTAACTTTTTCTGTTGCTTGCTAATTCTAATGCCTGAAGATTTAGTTTTGCAGTGGTTCAGTAGAACGTGGGGAAACAAGTGGCAACAATTGAACAAAATGCGAAAAATCCAGATCTGGGGTGTGATGGGCACGATAATACTATAGTAACGAAGTCGACCTCAAATCCCTGGCTTGCCGGGGACAAGTTTTTCTTATCTGCGAATTCCCTTTGGCAAATTGTGTTCCACGCTCGCTTCGGTGCAACTACCCAAAAATCGCGTGGCAAGATCCTAACATGATACAATAGCGGCTACATGCGGTCATACTAAAATCAGTTATACTGAATGAGTGCTTCATTGCTGCAATTCGCATTCACTGACTTGATTACTAACAACTGAACGTCACAGTCTGCAGGTACAACCCTGTTGTTGTTACTAAAAAGCTTAGATAACTGAGCTCATGCTTTTGTGTCATCTGTTGAACAAAAAATCTTGGAACTTTGCATTATCGATAATCTATTCCAGCATATGATCCTGGAGAACTGTACATGTATTCTTTCTATACAATATATTCTATCCCTGCAACATTGCCGGTCAGTTTGTTTTGCTTGTTTGGCGGTCGCGGCCTTAATTCCTTACAAAATATCTTCTATCATCCTTTACCTGGGCTATTAATTTCTGATTTAATTTGTACAACATCTTCCAACTATGCCGAAAAGCAGTTTTCCTTACCGATCTTTCTCAAAACGTAAAATACAAAATCCTGAATTTCTCTGTAACAGGGAATGGCTGTTGCATCAATATCTAGAAACGCCTACTCTAGTCGTCCCCCTATGAAAACGATCCTGACATAGTTTGCTAAACACCTGTGCCTAGCAACAACATTCACAAATTGTTATCCCTCCAAATGTTGCGATTATAACAGTTGTGATTACGCTTTAATTGATTAAGAGCTCTTGAACTGAATCAGCAAATTGCGACGACAAACCAATCTTAAAATCGACTACAACAAGTGCATCAGCTGACCACTAGCGGCTTTTGAAATTATATGAATTATTAGAATCTGCTGCTGAGATCAGTATGCCAATCAATCTTCATAAGTTACGGTTAAAAAATATCCAGCAAGAGGATGATTTGCTGTTGTCTTAGGAATACTATCTTGCTGCGACACTGCTGCACAAATAGCATACTCTAAGTAAATCAAGATATAAACTTAAACCGCAAACCAAAATCTTAACAAGAAATAGCCGTTTAAACTTTCATATTAAGCATCACGTTTTTTAGAGCCTTGGCATCAGGACCACATGACGTGTATTAAATAAGGTTACGGTTAGTTAACGTCATCAGGTCCCACAGGTTTGATCGTTGTGCCCCGACGGATCTTGCCCCAACCAATCAACCTCCAATGCTTGTCTATACGTCGAGACAAAGCGATTTTCTCTCCCTCTTCTGTACAAACCGGATTGGTCAGTGCAATTTTTGCCAGATCACTTCGGCAAGCTATCACACGACCACCAGTCGACAGCGAGCCAATGTTCACCATCAAAATTTCGTTTTTAGTCAACTTTTGAACTTTAGCTGCCTTTCTGTCGCCCTCCGTTCTCACGCCCAACAGACGTCGTAGAAGAAAATAACTGATTTCAATTTCGGTAAATATATCTGGTAGAGTGCCAACGGCGCCCAACACCTGTCCGACGAGACGATCAGCTCTACACAATGTGGGGTCGATTTTCGTTCCAACTCCAATTAATCCTCCCGGTACGGCGTACTGCAGCTCGTTAGACTCGGCGAACAGAGAGATTATTCTGGAAAATATCGGCCTGCAAGCAAGTCTTCCATCACTCGTTTTCGATATTATCCCTGGACGCACCTCAATTTCTTGCCCAACATGCAAAACACCTAAAACAGGTCGAACTTTAGCTATTTTCATATTCATAACTATTACTACAGAAATTTAAAGCACGCTTGTTAAGTTATTTGGTCGATAAAGCTAGGCTACAGATGCTCCAAAGCTTAACAAGTAATCACGGTATACGCTCTTTAACCTGGTAGCTAAAAGTCTGCGAAGTAGACGCATGTCTGGGTGTGGAAAGCTCTTGTAGATATATGCCCGTAGTTTCAGTCACGACAGCAGCGCCCTTCAAACTCGTCGCTCACTCATGTACCCAATAGCAGAAGAACATCCTATGTATTTTTTCTATCCGTTGAATAACAGCTATATCTTGAAACATCAGTCGGTCAGTTTCAACGACCGCTTATCTTGCCGGCACATGGGGGCAGACATGTCAGACAGTTTCCAACGTTCCACATCCTGTACCAGCATATAATACCTTCAGCATTGGATGCCCCGAGTTTGGAGCATTCTGTCGACACACTTGGCCATCTCCGGGGTCTTTGGGATCGGGTGATCAGGCAGACGCTATTTCGCATTCTTCTCTGGAAGAAGTACTCACAAGGTGTGCCCAAACCATCGCAGCTGTGACTTCTAAATCTGATCGATTAATCGACACTAAGGCCTTCTCGGACGTTTCAACTCTGGATCCTGTCAAGTCAAGTGAGTCTAACGATTCGTCTCGGCAAGCCCAGTTCAGACGTTTGCTGCCTCGATAGCAGTTTTCCACACATAGCCCATGAATAATGACAATAGGTGATCATGAGCTTGAAAATCGACTTGAACATAGACAACCTGTTTCTCAGACGCCACAATGCTGTAATCATTATGGTTCAGAATATAGGACGGATAACCCGGCTGACCGTCCTGATTCATACGCGTGCCGGCCACGTCCACTTAACTGCAAACCTCTCCAAAGCAAGCTCGAGAGCAGTGTCAGCAGATTCCAACAAAACAAGGTTATCTGCAAACAAAACTTTTCGTCTCACCATATTCTATTCTTACATACTTGTTATCATGACTAAGCCTGATTATCCTACTGATTAATGACACAGAGGAAACAGA